ATCTACTGAGTCCTGATAGCCACTATCGATTTCTATCATCAGTGTATGGGAATTTAGTAAATTATACTTAAAATATATCTTAGACAATATCCCAATTGTTGTCACATAATATCTGATGTGAATAATTGATTGACTGAATTCTAAAGAAATGAACTTATTTATCACAGATATTTTTGTTTGATTCCGTCAGTTACTAATTAAATAATGAATGAAATGTTAACTAATATACTTTCTTGTTATAATATCCACATACAAAATACTAACGTATTATTAATATGAAACTCGTAATGTGATTATGAATTTCTTATGGAAGTTAATATTTTCAGTTTCATTCTTGACTTAACAGTTTATTTCAACTTTATTCAATATCTCAATTGGTTATTTAGCTTTAGAAAAATAATCAGCCTCCAATGTAAAATATATCGTTTTACCCCACCATTAGTCAATTCATATCTTCTCTTCTTTTTCTAAAAAAAAACCCAAATATCCATAATTTTCACTGCAAACAATTCAGGTTTTATGTAACTTACTTTTGACAACAGTCGAGTAAATCAAATGGGTCACAATCACTCGATATATTCGTCTTTAAAGTTTTAAACCTCTCATTCTACTATACTATTTACTTTCAGGTTAAAAATCATTTACTCTACTTTACTTAATATAAAAAAGTAAAATAAAACTCTCTTACTTTCATTATAATGAAAAATACAACAGGCGAAAAAAAAACACAACCGTCAGAAAAGTCCACAAATGATTTAATGACTTTAACCAATCAATAGGTTTACAATCACCATGGTGTTTACAAACACATTAGGAGTAGTATTCTCTAGTAAATTATCGAATAATCAATTTTAGAAAAATTTTTTCTAACCTCCCCACTTCTATACTCCTATATTATCGTGATATTAGCCTGTTTATAGTTTCTATACTAAATGTTTTGACCGAAAAATAACTAGTTTTCTCCAATTTATTTTTGTTTTTGTTCCTTTTGTTGTCTTTTCTTTTTTATTCTTTAGTGGCGTATTCAGTAGTGCTTATTATCCATATCTTGGACAAGCGGGTTATCTTGGCCCATTAGTTGCTGTGGAATTTAAAGCACCGAAAAAAAGTGTCGCTATTTTGGTTAAATGTGCAATTTCAAATGTTCAAAACGCCAATAAAGATGAACTGAATTTTGAAATAATGGTTGATTAGAAACTGTCACTGTTAATGGTAGCAATAATAAGTCTCTATATAGTTACAGAAATGGACAACCATAATCACTTCCCATGATCATGTTTTTAAGTTGTTAGTCATTTAGCTACTGAACAACATTTAAGTAGTTTAAAATTGAAGAATCAATAGTTGGTTCCGACATCAAATGCATTGATTAAAACAAGATAAAATTGAAGAATTGATAATAAAATACAACGAAAATCAAATTAAAGGAGCTTCTTCGAGTTAAAAAAGAGATTGAAGTAAATGAACTTTGTAAAGCTTAAATAATATTAACTATTATGGCATTATATTGTATGATTCTATTTATTAAATATGACTAGACGGATGATTCAAGGAATAAGTGGACGAATTTTGTAATGACAATTTCATTGAAAGAAAGAAGAATCTAATGAAATAGCAATGATAATGAACGTGTATTTATGCATTTATTAATTAGTATTGCTATCCTATTAGATTCTTCTTTCTTTCAATGAAATTGTCATTACAAAAATTCGTCCACTTATTCCTTGAATCATCCGTCTAGTCATATTTAATAAATAGAATCATACAATATAATGCCATAATAGTTAATATTATTTAAGCTTTACAAAGTTCATTTACTTCAATCTCTTTTTTAACTCGAAGAAGCTCCTTTAATTTGATTTTCGTTGTATTTTATTATCAATTCTTCAATTTTATCTTGTTTTAATCAATGCATTTGATGTCGGAACCAACTATTGATTCTTCAATTTTAAACTACTTAAATGTTGTTCAGTAGCTAAATGACTAACAACTTAAAAACATGATCATGGGAAGTGATTATGGTTGTCCATTTCTGTAACTATATAGCTACTCATAATTAATAACTATAAAATATTGTTAACATGAAATTTTTTTTGTTTTTGGAGAGTCCATTTATAGTTCAATCGAACAATAGAAATACATCATGAAACTTAAATAGAAATTTGCTTTTATTTCGGTACAGAAACATTAGATTTTTATCTATTTAGAATAACTTATCTTAATTGTTTTTAAAAGAAATAAATAGCTTATATTGTTTCCATATTTGAATCTGATTTAATTGATGTTGTTTAAATCATTTTTATTTAATTTATTATTACCATTATTATTCTGTTAATAAAGATAATTCTAGATAGAAATTTACTGAGGTTGTTTTTTCGGTTGTTGTTCAATTCACTGAGGAGAATTTTTAAAGTCTTCAGGAATTTATAATATTCCAAATTATTCTTCACATCTTTGATATCAGTTTATCATTAAAGATAAGGGATTCTTGAGAATATGATATTTATTAGTTTTAAGTCTCCCCCAAATAGTCCAAACACATGTGTATATGTTATAAGATATGTCAATACTGATTTCTACAAGAATTAGTTAACAAGCTGTGTTAATGAGCCACATTCAATGAAGACAAAAAACAAGAAACGATAAATATTAATCAACGGCAAAATTTTCTACAACTGCATCACTACAAAACTTCAGTTTACATTTATCTTCTCAAAGGGTGACACACATCATATCGACAGCAAAAACAGTAATATACCGAAAATTAGTACATTAACTGCGATTATCTCTACACAGTCATATTTCTCTAATCTATTTTATTCTGCCCTATTTATCAAACATTCGTACACGTCCCTATCACTCTATACATGACATTATGCTAATGAACTGCTGACTTCAGAAATGACGTGGAGTACCACGTCCTACAGCTTTGACTCAGGTGACTGGTGCATATAATTACAGAGTGTGATTGTGTTATGTGTTTAGAGATCTTGCTTATTCCCTTGTGTATGTCGAGGAGTAATTCTGCAATGTAAAATTGATGCCATCGTCCTAACGACATACGCAAATGATAATAAATCAAGCATTGAGGAAAACAAAGCCTACTTAAACCACAAAACTCAAAATTCAATTATCATAAGATATGATTCGTTAGGTTTTCATATACAGTGTAATCATCTTAGACCGTAATGGGACTACCGATCTCTCAGGCATGCTCACCACTCCTATTCAAGTGTCAGCTACATTACCTGTAAATACCAAGATTACTCATTCAGCATTTGGCTTTGGACAGTCACTTAATTCTCCCCCATTGATTTAGGCCGTTCAAGAGTTGGGGGCATGCATGTAGGCTGAAATGGACCACATTTCGTGACAAAATAACTGGAGGAATAGTGATCGGGTGAAGAGTTACTATACACACAAACAAAACACTATAGAGGAGACGTAAATGAGTAAACCATAAGAATGAATAAAGCAGAGAAGTTACTTCTCAATTTTAACACATCTGAGCTAATAAGTCCCATGGAACACATCAAAATGGGCTCTTGAAATAAGGAGAACGAGACTGAGAAGTTGTGTATGATACCCAAAATGTTCGAAAACCAGTATCGTAATGTGAATAAAGCAGTCAGTCAGCTGCAACGTAGGACCAGGCACGTATATGCATCGGTCCAAGTTGCCATACCGCGTTAGCACAACAAGATGAACACTGGATTCATAGAAGTAGTTAATTCAATGGTGGTAATATATAGAAGAAAGAGTGTGTATAAGGAGATAGTACAGGAAGATAGAATTAGTTCCTAGAAAGAAAGATTTGAAGTGATTTCAATCTCTTAGTTTAAAGGAAGACAGAGAGTGTATACACCGACGCCATTGTGACCGATTCTGAGCCATGTCACCAAGAATCTCCAACCATTGGTTACGATAGTCACGCGGACCCCAACCAGGCAGTCTGCATCTACCAACATGGCTCAGACCAGAAGTTAGTGACTTCAAGCACTGATGCCACGTTTTGGTTTGGGCGCCCTTAACTTTCTTCCAATTATCCCTAACACCGGTTAGCATTGCGCGTCGTGGTAATCGGTGTTCAGGCATACGCAACACGTGGCCCAACCATCTCAGTCGATGAAGATTCATAACCTCATCAACTGATTTACCATCATTCCCTAATACCCTGCGTCTAACCTCACTATTACTTACCCGGTGATCCCAGCAGATGCGAGGAATATTTCTATGGCACCTGTGGTCAAATACTAGTAACTTACGAGTATCTTCTAATCTTAAAGGCCATGTTTCACAGCCGTATAGTAGAACGGAACGAACTGCCGCGCAGTATATTCGTCCCTTAATTGATAGACGGATATCTCGCCTTCGCCATAGATGACGTAAGTTGGCAAAGGTTAAACGAGCTTTTTCAATCTGTGCTGAGATTTCGTCAGACACCAACCCATTAGGGCTGATCAGACTTCCAGGATAAGTGAAGTTGTCAACGCGTTCGACTACTTCACCCCCTATCCTTAGTTCAGGTGTTGACGCAGACCAGTCCTGAAGCGTGCATTCATTGACAATTTTTATCAACTCGTGAAACATAGGATACTGGGAGTTATGTCATAAGTACGACTCCCTATCACAAATATCTGTATAATTTTATCATTTTAAAATTGTATATATTATGTTGATTATATTTTCACTTATGGGTAACATTGAGCACAATCGGTCACAATGGTATAGACTGGCACTCATTCTTTGTTTTCCCTTTAATGCTGAGTTTGGAAATTATCTTATGCGTCTTCTACTCTATGAATTTATCATTTCTCCCCTAATCATATCCTTTATGTATAGTCCTTACTACTAATAATGACACTGTTAATACTCCTAGTACTGTGGCATTTATGTAGCTGAGGGGATATGATATGTCAACTTTGAACGATGTAAATATGTTAGGTTCTACGTTGTTCATGACTAACTGGAAGCAAAACTCAAAAATCATGAATCACGTGTTATATGCAAACTAGTAATATTATTTAAATCAAAATAGAGAATGATTTTCGGATCTTTAACCCAAAATAAGCAAAAAATCAAATATCTACAGTAATAAAGTAAGAAATCTGAAATTTAAATTATGAAAAATTCATATGATAGGGGTTTTAACCATGTAAAAATACAAAACTTGAGATACAGTTTGTATATACAGTTTTATTCATGTAACTGATTTATTTACAAAAAAAAACAATTCCAAAATCAATTTTAAAGCATTATCAATCATCAAATTTACAATTACTGTTATAATCTACAAACGATATGATTTATTTCGAGAACTAGTTTACAAGACAATCAACAACAAAAAAGATATCCATTAAAATTGTTGTAGTAAACTGCGAAAGGAATTGACAATATTTATTCTACAAAAAAAAAGTAGAATAAGGAAGACAAATAAACATCTATTCTCAAATGAAGAAATAGTTATGATGTACATTACACATAAATGACTTAATATTATCTGCTTTAAACATTTCATTTATACAACACACTTTGAAGTGAATAGAAAGATAATACTAGACATAACTAATTTGTGAATACTAATTTGGATATATCCAAGTATTTATTAATAGAAATCCATTTTAGCGAGTTCATTTTCAAACTTTTGTTACAAAAAATATATTTCTTCCTGTAATGTACATATCTCAACTAAAATTGTTTAAAGTTTATTCTTAGAAAATGACAACAAGTTAATGTTAAAACCTTACGAATAAAATTACTAACTAAACTTCATAGCATACTAAGAATAACTACAGTGGTATATATATATATATATATATATATATATATATATATATATATATACTCAGTAATTACTGGCCTACATTTCAACGTAGTTCATGCGATGTCCAGTCACACACACTAGTGGCCACATTATCACTCGTTCAGTAAAACTAACTCAGTACTAAAGGACTAGACAAATACGATATTGGTCACTAATCTGTGATCAATCAATTTAAACACCAAAACAGTCCGTTTGCAAGAAATGTGTTTAGTATTTTGAACTCAATAACAAGTTGTATAACTTACGATGATGGTCTTTTTTCTTCAATATGACTATCGTCAACTTTTGATTGTTGGTTTTGTGAGGATTTCAAGTTTGACTTTTGAATACGCACTCCATTTGACTTTACGAAAGCTGACTGATCGGTAGAAAAACGCACTGTCGATTGTTGATTTCCACGAGATTCCCCTTGTATATCTTTTTTCATAGAAAGTAAGGTTGATTTTAAATTTTGATTGCGATTAAAATGAGAGTGCAGTTTAGATTTGAGACGCTTTTTACGGGGAACTTTTTTGACAATTCGATGCATATTGGTATTATCAGACGATAAACGAGTGCAAGGTTTACTCAAACTGTTGTTATCACTACATTCAGTATATGGATTTAACGCGTGCTTGAAAGATGATTGAGAAAGGTTCGAATGATCCTATTTAAAAAGGATAATAAATAACAAGGATGTAGGAAGTGGATATTTACAAACAGCATATATTATTTGTTGTCAATAATAATGAGACACAAAAAATACATATTTGACCTATAGTTCCACCATCAAATGCTAAAAGTCGGACGAATAAAGCGATTTTTTGAATTCATCTTGACCATACTGCAAATAAAAACATGCGTGATCGGTCGTTGAAACGTCGAACATTTTGATTACGAACTACATTTACTGTATGAATATTAACACTTTGTACAATACAGGATTCACACTCAGAGCAGGAGAGCCAGAGTCTAAAGGTAACTGGGTTCAGGTGAATTAGATTGTGGTTAGAGGTATGTGCGAGGTTCATATTTACCAGCTAATAACACTTTGAAGGTCCTGAGAAGGAAATGAGGTTAATGGCGATCTCAAGCTGAGAACGTTACTAAAGGGCATAAGATAAATTAAAATTTTACCTTGAAATATTAAAGTTATAATGGTCCTTCAGTCTCTTTATATTTGTGACATGAAATCAAAATTACTCACTTCGGAATTAGTATCGTCAGTTAGCATATTACTTATGGATTGTGCTTTAAGTTCTTGCTTTATTATGTTCTTCATTTTCTTACTTACAACCAATACTGACCCATCGTCGTTACGAATGTGCTTCTTGGAAAAACGTTCAGAAGGATGTCGAGAAGAGATACTTTTCCTTACAGGAGCCATCCGACCTAAAGCAAAAGCAGAGTAGACGGATAACATACATAAAGCCACATATGTAGTGAGAGACATATCAGGTTTGGTGGCTTTGTCGATTAAATATGCTCAAACTAGGCACTGACCTAAATAAGCTCTTAATTAACATTGCGCATGCAAAATGCTTTGCAGAAAACACACTCATATGTTTCTAAATTGAAACATACCCCTAACATACTTGCGCTGACACTCGATTCATTTAGAAGACCGAAAATTGTCGGCGCATTCACGGTGAGACTATGATTTATGGACGACCTTTGAGCGGCGCTAAAGAGAACTTGATAATGTCCACCTACATACTACGTCTAAATGAGGGTTATAAGCCAGCATGAGGAACTAGGATTAATTTTTACAGTTGATGGTTAGTATTAGGAATCAGATATAGGGTTTTCATCACGAACTAACATCAACTAGTTGATGCCGAAACTATATTTAACCAAGTGGATGAGTGGATTTAGCGTCAAAATTCAAGACCTGTTATTGTAAGTCTGATTGGTTCGTCCATAAATTATAGTCCCGTCGAGTGCAGCCTGTCGAGCATCAACAAGGGTAGGTAATTCAGACAAAATAATCCCAGCCACCGGTAGGAATTACCTCTCGCCAGTACGACCTTGAGCGACTAGGTGACGGCGGGCAACGTGTACTTGAATCCAATAATCTTGTGACAAGCTCATGTACACAGGTTGACTTTTTTTTGACCTCATCTCCTTTCACTTCTGTACGGTTCCGGATCTTTGATAGTGTCTTACGAGCGGTATTCTAGCCACTCAAATGCACTACTTGCAGGTTTGTGAGTGAGTGCGTACATGTTAAGTCTCATGTTGAGGCCATACGTTAAGCGAGTTAAAAAGTGAAAGGGTACATGAGCTTTCGCCTTTTGATTTGAAATTTTTGAGTCTTAAGTCGTGCAGAGTAATACTGAGGTTCTGGTACGATGTTTGTGTTGTGGTGAGCTGACGTAAATGATATGATGTATGCCATTAACAGATCTCTTATTCTCACATAGTTCGGCGAGAATTATCCTGTGTTAAAGTGTGTCCTCCTTAAATATGTCTCTCAGTCTTACCATCCACTTTTCTATTTTTCCCTATATTCGATATATGAGACGTATGTCTATTTTTTAAATGTGGATGTGCGTAACGTTGTGGACTTGAAGGTAAGACCGCGAGTACGTCTTAGGCGGTGTCACAAACAGCTTTGGGACGGTTGAAATATTTTGTTTTCATACAAAATGAAGGGTTATATTTATCTCAGCTCTATATCCATCGTGTTTTGATCCAGTATTTAAGCTCTCTTGTCAGCAACCCGAAATCAACTGGGGAGACAACGAGGAGAGGAATCTTATGAAGGACGAAAGTTGTCTGTTGACAGTGAAGCTTAATATTAATGACATGAACTTTTAACGGGTCATGTTTTCATCCATTACATCATCGCTGTAAGGTCCTTCAAGGTCTTAAATGGATCCTGATCGCCTTTCATGACACGACATCACGGAATGCATGAGAGTCGGTGAGTTAATTTTTTCTAAGAGCATGTTAGTGGAATCCATCTTTGAAACCCTTGTTATAATTGAGTACGACTCATTGTCAAAAGTTTTAGCGAAGTCAAGGAATTTTACATAGACCTGTTTCTTTTGGTCTTAGAAAGTCGTCCAGCTATCTGGTGCTATGAGAAGATTGGAAGGGCAAAACTCCTTGGTCAATGGATTTCTATTTAGTCATGAATCTGTAGAGATGCTTCAGGTTAGCCTGTATTTCAGCAACCAGACGGCATAAAGTGTATGAACAATCATTTTTCAGTGCTCAATAGGAGTATGATATCTAGCATTTTCCTGTTCACTCAGTATATCAGGGCTCCATATAATAGTATAATTTTCAAAACTGATCATTTGAAGCTATCCATATTTGAATCTCCACCCGCAGTCGTTTTAGGGTTTCTGCTGTATAAAAGAGGACGGATTAGCACTAGGACAGCGACGAAAACTCGCAAAATCGTTGCTAACAGTCATTAACCAGCGTTAACAAATTGACCTGTTTAAATTGCTCAGGGAAACTAAGCATGCATATATAAGGGCTACGATGACTCAGTGCGATACAAGTGATACAAAAGTCGTCCAAACAGCAGCATAAGTGAGTTGCTACAACCCGACTGTATGAGATAAGTGAAACAAAATGCACAAAATCAGTAGGGATTAAATTTAGTAGAAATGCCATCGTATTTTGATTATGAATATGCCTCATGAAAACAAGTAATTCAATAGTGCTCGAAAACAAGGTAAGCACTGCTACTGATTGTCTGCTGAGCTACTAATTATGGACATTTATTGACTACTACAATGTTCTTAAAGACGCATTAAATTCTGCCTCGCAACAATATTTATTATTAATTCCTATTATTATACCTTAAATTCATCATTCTCCGGGAATAATACACATCTTTATGTTATAAACGCGTAGTTTTGCCGGTTAGAGAGCAGCGTATTATCGATCGGAACAGTGACGCATAAATTACGAGCGAGCAGCCTAGAGTTCTGGTTGGCCCTACTTCCCTGTCTAGCCCAGCCAGTTGAGTCCAGAACGCAAGTCTCAGCCTCTGTGATATGAATCGTTATATTTCAAACATACACTGTTTATATACCAAACAAACAGACTACATCGTACCATAACTAGAAAGTAACATTTGTACAAGATTTAACCTTCAGGAAATGACACAAATAAATATTGACCGATAGGGAGATGACACGTTGGAAGAATATTGACCAATGGGGGAATGACACAATTTCTCATTCAGGAATAGCATTTGATAACTTCTGGGGTATTTTCTGAATACCCCAACACCTCCCCTTTATTTGAAGCGTTAGAGGTAATAATGATCTTTAGGATTTATTTTTATTCTGTTAGGTTTCCGCCTGATGCGCTGCGACCTTCTTGGGAGTGTTGTATGCGGTCTTGTTATTATTCGGGTCATTTTTAATTTCATTATCCGACTCAGTTTATATATTTATTGGTATATTCGACTTAACATCATTTCCTGTCTCCCGCTTCTGTCTGGTTGGCTGCACCTGGTTTGTGTGTCGCACCCATATCTTTCGTCCAACTTTTACTTCATAGATAACCTTCCCTTTTTTTCGTATTATGATGCCAAACTTCCAGGTTGGCTTTACTCCCGTGAAATCTCTTGCTATTACAGCTTGTCCCAACTTAAAGCTTCTAGGCAATGCACTATGCCGCTTGTTGAATTGCTGTTCCATTCGTTTGTTCTCGCGGAGGTTGGCTGTATGTTTTGGTTTCATTTGCTCTATAGGTATTCTAATCTTTCTCCCAAAAATTGCTTCTGCTGGACTTTCTTGATTATTTGTTGTTGGGTTGGGTGTTGCTCTGTAGATTTGTAGAAATCTTTGGATAATCTCTTCTATTTCCCCTTCTCTTTCGGCTCTAAGCAGTGCTCTTTTTAACGCATCCACGAATCTCTCGACTAGACCATTGGACTGCGGATGGTATGGGGGTGTCTTTATAGCCTAACGGCGTTGGCGACGCAGAACTTCGAGAATTCGGCGGAGGTTAACTGTGGTCCATTATCAGACACCAGTACATCTGGACACCCAAAGCAGCTGAATACTGGTCTTAGTTTTTCAATACTAGCTTTTGACGAAAGAGACTTCATGCAGTGGATCTCTGGCCATTTTGAGGAGGCATCAACAATCACCAAGTACTGTTTCCCGTTTATGGGACCTGCGAAATCCACATGTACACTTGACCACGGAATTTCCGGTGTCCCCCGATTCTGCATTTCTGTCTTGCGAGGGGCTTTGATAGCTTTTGCACACGCGGAACATCTCTCAACATAGTCTTTGATCTGAGCGTCAATATTCGGCGAATATACATACCCACGTGCAAGTGCTTTCATCCGTGCTACCCCTGGGTGTGCAGCATGCAGTTCTGACATCACCTTACGGAGTAAGTTTGACGGTACAATTACTCGATTTCCAAACATCAAGCACCCGTCCACAAGTGATAGAGAATTTCGACGGCGAGAATACTGTTCAATATTTTTATTGCCTATATGGGCAGGCCAACCATGTTCGAGGTATCCAATAATCTGCTTCAGCTCATCGTCTTCTTGAGTATGGTATTTAATATCTTCGGAAGATAACGGGGTTGCTTTTATAGCAACTTGTAGTATATGATGAATATCATTTTCCAACGATATCGTCGCGATAATTGAATCTTCGCTTTCCTGCTTCTGATTCGCAATTAATCTGGATAAAGCATCAGCTTGTCCAAACTTTTCAGTTGATTTATATAGAATTTGGAAATCATAAGCAAGCAACGTAATAGCCCAGCGTTGTAATCGATTCGCTGTATATGCAGGAATACCTGACTTCGATCCAAATATAGATAAAAGCGGCTTGTGGTCCGTTAAGAGAGTAAATCGACGACCATAAATCATTTTATGGAATTTCTTTACTTCAAAAACTAAAGCTAGTCCTTCCTTCTCAATCTGACTATCTTTTCTCTCAGCTGAGTTAAGAGTTCGGTATACATGAGCAATTGGCTTTTATTTACCATCAGGAAAACGATGACTGATAACAGCTCCAATTCCATAGTTTGAAGCATCGGCGGCTACAATTATTTCAAGCTTAGGATTATAATGAGTCAGCAACAATTTAGAAGATAAAGTCCTTTTTATTTCATCGAAAGAATCTTGACATTCCTTTGTCCAGTTCCATGTTGTATTAGCCATCAAGTGTTGATTTAATGGATGTCGCAATTTATACATATGGGGTACGAACATACTATAATAACAAATCATCCCCAAAAACGAACGAAGGGTTGTAACCTCAGTCGGTCTGGGCATATTTTTGATAGCATTTATATTGTCTGGATCTGGTCGACGGCCATTTTTATCAAATATATATCCAAGGTATTTAACAGACTCGAGCAGAAATTCACACTTTTCTTTTTGTAACTGAAAACCGGCTTGTGATATTTTTGTGAGCACCACGCCTAACCGACCCAATAATTCCTGCGCAGAAGAGCCAAAACTATAATGTCATCCAAGTAAACTGCTACACCTTCGACGATAGACACCATAGTATCCATTATTTGCTGGAAAATTGCTGGAGCTGTCTTAACGCCAAATGGTAATCGGTTAAATCGATAGAGTCCACGGTGGGTATTAATAGTTAATAACTCCTTTGAATCTTCGTCAACTTCTACTTGTAAGTAAGCTTCAGATAAATCAAGTTTAGAAAAATGACGTCCACCGTTCAGTTTAATAAATAAATCCTCTGGCAAAAGTGATGGGTATGAATGATTTTGTAAAGCGTCATTTAGTCCTGTTGAAAAATCTGCACAGAGGTGAATAGCTCCGTTCGCTTTCTGAACCACTACAATTGGTGCTGTCCATGCCGAATAATTGATAGGTTGTATAACACCGAGCTTCTCTAGTCGGTCTAATTCTTTGTCGACTTTGTCAATAGCCGCATATGGGACTTGACGTTTTGGACGGAAAACAGGTTTTGCATCCTGTCGTAAGTATAATTCCGCCTTCTCAGTTGTGCAGCATCCCAATTTATTCTGAAACACGTTTTTA